GCCAAAATTTAATAAATTTCGTAGATAACTTGGAAAATGCTATTATATTTGCCCATTTAGGTAGCTTACACACTTCAATAATTCCTTTAAAACAATTGACAAATTTGATAGAACATGTTTCAATAATTCACGGCGAAACAAAAGTCATTAAATTTAAAAATCCATAGAATTATTTCCAATTAGCAGGAATACAAGTAAAATTCGAAAAATCAAAAATAATATTTGCTATTCACATTCCTATTTTAATTAACAGCGATTTCTTGACCTATCACATTATTCCTTTGCCCTATGAAAATTCCATAATCATAACACCCAGTCCCTTCCTCGTACTCAGTACCGAACTCCATCAATATGAAGATAAACCTTGCCCACAAATCGAGGGAATCTTTTTCTGCGAACACCATGAAGATGTCACAAACGACACCTGTGCCATAGCCCTGATTCGAGCCGAAAAATCAGTCTGTAAAGTCGAAAAAATAGTTCTATATCACCCCATAATAGAACAAATCAACAATAAATTCCTACTAGTACTACCTACCAAAATTCCCGTAAAAGTCTGGATAAACTGCGAAAGAAAGAAAATAGCCATATTCAACGTCAATACAATTATCAAAATTCCCAAGGGATGTAGTATTAAAATAGAAAATTCCCTATATGAAAACACAGAAGAAAATGTAATTGGAAACCCTCTAATATTGCCAAAAATGGAAAGGAGTCCATCAAAATCAAATTCAATTTACCAAAACCATTGTATAAATATAAACCTTCCTCTGAAATTACATTCAATAAACTTCAAAGCCATCCAAGAATTACAGAAGATAGCAAAATCCACCCAAATTCCACAAGAAATCCACCCCATAATTTGGAATGTGCCCAGCCTAACGATAGTAATTGCCTTGGTATCTACTATTATCTACGTATGGTACCGAAAGAAGAAATCCAAAAATCACCAAAATCTCTCGGAAGAAAACCACCAACCCGAAAACAACCCCATATCAGTATTGTTTTCGCCTAAGGAGGGAGGAGTTATATAAGAAGAAACGTCGAGTCTATTAAAATATAAAACCGTAAACGGCGCAAACTGTTAACTTTGCATTTATTATTATCATTAAAATTGTATTATAAAAATTCATTCCAGCTTAGATTGTTGTAGAATAAAGTCATAAATAAAGTCTCTAATCTTCGAAAAGTAAATTTTTGTTTTTTTAAAAAATTATTTTCGAGTTAAATAAATTTAACTGCCGCCTCGGCGGATGCTGTAATGTAAATAAATGGAATTGTTCACACTATACTGCGAATTAAATATAATAATTCGAAAAATAGCTTTTTAAAAACAATTTTATTACTTTTATGACAACTTTACTCAACAACGTTAGAACAGAGAATGGTTTAATAATATAAAAGAAAAGATGATTAGCCTCGGCCGTCTTCTTCTAGTCAGCGGTTTTTATTGTCAGCTGGGCAGTTTCCATGTATGTAACTTGCGGTACTGCGCTGCGAGAAAGCAACGCTACACCGCCGCGCGTACCGTCGTTCGACTCAAATGCCGACTCGTTTTTATTGCTTCGGGCCACTATTCTATTAGATTCTACAAAATCCAAAACAAGCATTCCTTTAGTTCAGTCGTTCAGTTGATTTTACATTAGTAAAGGAATAACTAAATAGAAGTGCTTTATCCATCCCTAACTAATAATTCCAACAAAAAATGGATCCCAATATCGATAGTGAACTATTAATAGGGAAGAAGTAGTCAATATATTTGCTAAGGAGGATGATTCAGATGAGGAGAAAAAAAAACTTGGTAACTTTTAAATATACAAAACATAATTATTAAGTGTGCTTATAAATATTTATCTTGCCAAGACAAGGGGGTAATATTAACGAAGTATTATGCGAATTTTTCTCTGGCATCAAGAGCATGAGGATTTCCTCTACTTGTAGCATCTCTTCTAACAGTTTGTATGTTGCATGTTGCCACAAAATCATCTTCGGAATGACCATCTTTTCCATAACTGATCCATAACTGATCCATAACTGATCCATAACTGATCCATAACTGATCCATAACTGATCCATAACTGATCCATAACTGATCCATAACTGATCCATAACTGATCCATAACTGATCCATAACTGATCCATAACTGATCCATAACTGATCCATTACTGATCCAGAAGTGACCCAGAACTGATCCAGAACTAATCCAGAACTGATCCACAACTGATTCAAAACTGATCCACAACTCATTCACAACATATTTAGAACTGATGCAGAACTGATGCAGAACTGATGCAGAGCTGATACAGAACTGATACAGAACTGATACAGAACTGATACAGAACTGATACAGAACTGATACAGAACTGATACAGAACTGATACAGAACTGATACAGAACTGATACAGAACTGATACAGAACTGATACAGAACTGATACAGAACTGATACAGAACTGATACAGAACTAATCCAGAACAGATCCAGAACTGATACAGAAGTGATGCAGAACGGATTCTTAACTGATCCAGCACAGACCTTAAACATTTTTCATGAAATAATTATTTTTTCATTTAAAATTATTTCAACCAAAATTGTTTCGTCTGAAATTTTTTTATCCAACTTTTTTAATCCAAAATGTTTTTCACTTTTTTTTTTCTATTAATATCTATGGTCCGCAACTGATCCATGACTGATTAAGAACTGAACTACATATTCTACAACTGATCCACAATTGATGCACAACTGTTCCATAACTGATCCATTACTAATTCACAACTGATCCAGTACTGATTCACGATTCACAACCGATCCAAAACGGATCCAGTGCTAATATACTACTGATCTACTACTGATCCACAACTGATTCACAACTGAATAACAATATTTCATCCAAAAATTTTTCATGCATTTTTCTCCCAGAACTTCATTTTATTTTTTTCATCCAAAATTTTTCCTAACATTTTTTTACATAAAATTGTTTTGTTCATAATTTTTTCATCCAGTAAATTTTTTATCTAGTTTTTTTTTATCCGGACTTCAACTGAACCACAATTTTTTCATCCAACAGTATTTCATTATAATTTTTTCATCCAAATTTTTCATTAACTGATCCACAATTTTTTCATCGAAAAGTTTCTTCCTTTTTTTTTATCCAAATTATTGATTCCAAACTGATCCAGAACTGATTTAAGAGAACTGATCCAGAATTAATCCACAACTGATTCGCAACATATTTAGAACTGATGCTAATGCAGAACTGATGCAGAGCTGATACAGAACTGACACAGAACTGATACAGAACTGATCCAGAACTGATCCAGAACAGATCCAGAATCATGAAATAATTATTTTTTAATTTAAAATTATTTCAACCAAAATTTTTTCGTCTGAAATTTTTTTATCCAACTTTTTAAACCAAAATTTTTTTACCTTTTTTTTTCTGTTAAAATCCACAACTGATCCGAAACTGATCTATGACTGATGAAGAACTGAACTACATATTCTACAACTGATCCACAATTGATCCAGAACTGATCCAGAACTGATCCGGAACTGATCCAGAACTGATCCAGATAACTGATCCAGAACTGATCCAGAACTGATCCAGAACATATCCAGAATTGATCCTAAACATTTTTTTCATGAAATATTTTTATTGAAATTTTTTCATGGAATAATTATTTCATCTAAGGTCTTTTATCCAAATTTTTTATCACATTTTTTTATACAAAATTATTTCATTTAAAACGAGACGAGGTGATGAATAATTTAAAGTTCATGTCAGATCACATTCATTCCCAAGATCTGTCAAAAGTATATATAAGCTTGATATTTTTTAATGAACAGTCTTGTCTTTTGAATAATTAGGAATTTAAATAAATCAAATTGTTCATAAAAAATTTATTAACTTAATTTTTTTTTAAATAAATTCAATGTCTAACATACATATGAAAATTCGTCGGCGATTTAAACCATTAACAATAACAATTGGGAATTTTTATAATAGCTAAACAATGGCGTAGGTAACGATTATATATGTCGCATTCAGTTTATTTTTAAATCCAGGGTGGCTATGGAAACACCATTGTTAATTTATGACGTAGATAGACATTTGCAGAACTGTGTTTTGTGACATAATATTTAAAATATGTGAGACTCACCGAAGAATATATCTAAGGAAAAACGGAAATCAATGTGGCAACGTTGTTTTTTTTTTTGAGGGCTGTTTGCGACTAAGAAGAACTTTGAGCGATATTTGAGTTTCATAGCTACCTTGGATTTAAAAAGAAATTGAGCGTGACATATCGTTTTACAAGATGTCTCTGAAGTTCAACAAAATACAAGATTTATCTCCCAATGTTGATATACATACCAAATTTATAAAAAAATATTTTTAAATTGTTATAAATTTCCAAAATTTCCAAAATAAGTTATGATTTTTCGTTACATCAAATTTACCAAATAATTTTTTCGTTTTCAGAAACATCCTATATTAATTTATTTAATTATTTTTTCACTTAAAGTGTACATATTATGATGTCCAGTTTTTTTTTTAATTAAACAAGAAAATAATGAATTTTCAATTACAAAATTCGGAGTGTTTGGAATAGCCAAACCAGCGCTATTATCTCCACAAATGGCTTAGTTCACAGAGTATCTGTATATTAATAGAATAAGACCGATTGTTGGTCTTTTTCTGAATCACCTTGTATATGTAATGTGTTTTTTTGTTTATTTTTAGCTGGTTTGTTTATATTAAAACAATTTTATTTGCCTAATTATATGTAACTAAAAAATTAATTTGAAATTACTAGATATTACATTTTGTTTACCCTGTTTCACTTCATATATTATAAAAAAAAAATAAAATGTGGTTTATACTCTGTGGCCTAGGCCATTTACAATAAACTTTATAAACACTCTTAGGGATTTTATTTGGCATTCTAAACAAATAAATGAACATATCTATTTTGCTTAATAATTTACATACTAAATAAAAATTGTGCAATATTAGATAAAAAAACAAAGGTACTTCAACAGAAACAGGTGTTAAGAATTTTAGCGCAGAAAGCAGAATATTTACAGAGTACAAAGCGACATCTATAGGTAATCCGCAAAAAAAAACAAGTACCTATATCATTAAAAAGTCTATTAAGTGCCAGCTATTAGTATGAATAAGAAATAAACGAGGAAAAGTGATTTTTTCCAACTAAACATTTTTTCGGCTTTGGATTCTTTTATGGTGGTCGTTAAAGCTTTTTCTCGTTCTCTGAAGAGGTTCTTCGCTAGCATCCGCATTTTAGAAATTTTGTCGTCGAAAACGGCCGTCGATGAATTCGTTGGAACGTTGACGTTGCAGTAGTTTTGATCACAACACGATACGCACATCTGAAATATACATAAAAAAATTGTTTATTTGGAAAATCAATGGAAAATATTTGTTTTCATATAAGACTATGAATTTATTTTATTTTTAGACCAAGGGTTTTAATATCTGTTGGCAGCACCGAAATTGTAAAATAGTTCAAATTGTCCCGGACAACAGAATATTTGTTTTATTGGTTCTTTCTTTACACAAAATGGATATAGGAAGCTTAATAGCTTCCCAGACAGCACACCAAATCCTTTGGATATCTACTGAACATCCCAATATCCACTGAATGTCCAGTCCATGGTGGATATCTATTTTATATCCATGAAATGTAATTTATAGACATGCAAATGTCCATAAATAATAGTAATTATATAGCAAATTATTAAAAAATTACGCCATTGTGCTCTCCATTGTGGCTAATAGTACCGTTCAGATATTTAAAATTAATTTTTTTAAGGTGTATTCAATATCCCATGGACATCCACATATATCAAAGTCTTAGCGCGGACGCAAACCATCGTGGATACCTACTAGATGTAATTTTTGATTTTGCTTCCTAAGTATAGATGGCGATACCACTTTCGTATCTACTCATGCTCAACCCGCCATAATTGAGTTGATCGAAAATTGTTTCGCATTTAGACTCTATTAGAGACTGGAGTCGAGAATTTCTATTTATTGTTGAAGAGTCCTAATAAGGATGACTTTTTCCTTAGTGGGCAAACTCAAAGGCAGATTGTTGGAAATATTTTTTATCTCTATTTTCTTTCGACGTTATTCAATAATCATTTGGTTACTTATGAATGTCTACTAAAGATACTTATAAAATATTTTGCTGAATATCTGAATTCTATATCCTGGGATATAGACGGACAAAATATATTCTGTGGATAGTGTGGATATCTCTGGGATTTCTTGTATTGTCTGGAAGATACTAATTAGATATTTTGCTGAATATCCATAGAATATCTTCTATATTCTGGATATAGACGGACATTTGGATATCCATATTAGATCCACGGAATATTTCTGATATCCTGTGGATATATTGGATATCCACAAAAGATATTCTGTGGATATCTCTGGGATTTAGTGTGTTGTCTGGGTTGCGACCCAAATACTGTGGTCACCTCAACAGTCACGAAAATAAGTATAAATTAATACTTTCCTACCATGATACTATTACTCGAGAAGATAAGCCCACTTGACGATCCAATTTCGACCACGTTTGCGCATGACGTCATAACAATCCAGCTAGTGGGCATGGAAAAGCATTACGCTAGAGCGGTTTTAATCAATATTTTATGTTTATTTATTATAATATTGATATATTATTATTATAATATTGATATATTATTAAATTAAATATTTTTTGGCTTGTCTAATCCACTGAACTGTATATTTAAATGGAACGCCAATGTCGTTGGATGCGCGTGGTAGAAATAGTTCTCTAACGCTGCTAAAAACGTAGTGAAATTTTCATGAAAACACTGTACTTTTAACATTTACGATACTCCGGCGCATGCGCATTATTGATGTGATCTCATGATTTTACAGAGCTGGTTTTTGCAATTTTGAGTGTGATTTTAAGGTTATTACAGTTATTCGTTTTGTTTGGTTTTGATCGTTTTGATCTTTGACGTTTTTAGATGATCTGTCTTTACTTCTAATAGTTTTTAATTTCAATTTAATTGTATGGTTTATTTATATTTAATTGCTACTTTTTGTTTAGTGCTTTGTTCGTTTTGTGTTGAAATTAGCTTTAGAACAGTTAAGTGCCTGCTTTTGGTTGATACACTGTACCTAATAGACCTAATAGTAATCAGATTTAATCAGACTCTTGTTAAAATGGGGAAAAAGTGTATGGTTTTGTGGTGTAAGAGTCAGACGCCTCCATTTTTCAGGTAAGGATGACTAGTTATTTTTTATTCAAACTAGGGGGTATCCATGTGCTTTTGACCCCCTTTTTATACTTAAAAGGATAGCAATACGTGGTTCGGGGGTACGGGTGTTATATTTTAGCTATCTGAGCCAAATTGTCGACTAATTCTTCCCTTTTAAAGCACCCAGAACCAAAAATTATGTAGTTATCATGTGTTTTTTTTTAGATTAACTTCTGATAGGTATTCAGCTTGGATGAGGGCTTTAGGAAGAGATCCCAAGGCTGAAACGTTGACTTCTGTAAATGCCGTTTGTAGTGCACATTTCGTAGAAAGTGACTTCATTCTAGGAGGAACTAGGAAGCGTTTAAAAAAACATGCTGTGCCAGCTATTAATTTAGGACCTCGTAAGCCATTGATGTTACCTACTAATCTTCCAAGGTAATTAAGCTATGACAAATATATATTTATTAAATTATACTTTTTTTTTATATGTATACCTAACTACAAAATTATATGTAGGTATCGATAATATATTTATGGATCAGAGCCCATTAAAACAAGACAATAATATAGAATACCTGTCATAGTCATTCAATAATAATAAAATTCTAAATAATACCTAATACTTAATAACAAATTAATTTGAAATATATCTATATTAATAAACAATTAATTAAAAATCTAAAATCTATACCTCACATACCCATATGTAACTGGTTACAAAATTAATTTTTTTAAAGGAGGATCCTAATAATAACAGGTAAAGTTCCTGAATATGATTCTTGTCAACCACGATTTGTAGACAGTATTTTGCCTCTAGCTTTGGTATATGTCCTAGAAATTTAGTTTTTAAAAACTCAAATAAATTTAAGCAAATTATAGATTTCATAATTTTGTAACTAGTCATATTATGTCAGTTGCTAGATTAACAGTAAACTTCCGTACTTCATAAAAAACTGTAAAACATTTTATTTAAGAATACTTAAGCTCAAAAAGTTTAATATATAAACGGATTCGGAATAAATGTTTCATGTGCAGCGCCTTTAACAGCAGGTACTGCGATAGCTTTATAATAAGGGAGCGCACCTATATCCCACTGTCGAAATGATTGGAAATACGTCATGTGATAGCCACACCTATATCTGCTTTCACACTCATTCTCGTTTCATATGAATATTCCTCTTTTTGTTACTCCTAATACTTTTGCGCTGTGCACATGAAAAATTTATTCCGAATCTGTATATATATTTTCATTATGTAGAAAATTTTTTGAATTTTAAATATTGTTTGTAATTACTAGTTTATATTACTGTTTTATTTTTGACGAATCATGTACATTGTAAAAAATGTCTACCTGACATAAATTATCTGTCTATTGTAATATTACCCACCAAGTTGCTTGGCTGCCACCGTAAATTTCTGATTCGGCCGAAACATTTATAAATATCTTATTTTTGTAAATAACATTACAAATGTGAAAGACATATTTCTCATCTATAAAATTGTTACTAACGATAAAGAATTCTGTTAATTCATTAAAGCAAAAATAAAACCTATACCTATCACTGAAAATTTTGCTTGAGATGGGGTCGTTTTTATGGAAAATTTTAATGTTACTATACTTTACTAATAAAGCTACAGTTACTTTATCTTAGTGTTTTATTTAAATGTAAATATATCTCAATAAAATTAATGCCGCTAGTAAAGGTTTTTAGGCTTAGTCACTTTAAACATTCTTATGCTTCCCTTTGATATATTTGTGTAAAGAAATCTATTGTTTCTATGAGCTTAACAGTCTCCATTCGATCCTTTTTGGAAAAGCCTACATACTATCCAAAGGTAAGTTTTAACAAATTTATATATGGGTTTATGCATTAAAAAAGATTTTTAAAGCAAATATTACTTTTGTTATTCTTAGAATAAGCAATGATAAAATATCTATACTTTATTACATAGTTTTAAAAATAAGTAACTCCCCCTAATTCCTATTTTTTGACATCTATATACGGTAAAACAAGTGGTAAGAAATATAACTAAAGATTAAAATGGATTTTCTTATTGTTGAGTTTTAAAGATATTAATTTCTCTTGATTTAAAAAATAGTACATGAAATGGCCGAAACGGACCTGCAAAGGCACTTTGTGCGCATTCTCGCCAGTATCGTTGGGACGTAATGCGCGAATTCAATTTGGCTTACTTTTCTTAATAGGGATTGGCGTTCCATTTTAAGTATACAGTTCACTGGTCTAATCATATTAAAATGTCCCAAAACGTTTAAAAAAAGTATTATGAGCAAAAAAGAAAATTTCTGTCTATCGGTATTCACCATATCTTTTAAAAGAATTGCGCTATAGATAGGTGTTATTCCATTAGGGATCGGATTGGAATATTTTTGAGTAAAATTGGTAAAGGGGAAGGGGTGAAATATCGGGGAAAATGGTAAAAAATTACAATTTTTCGTAAAAAATCGAGTGATATGTCGTTTTATAGGTTTTTGGCTATGGACATTTTGATTTTATAATCTGTTTAATATTTTAATAGATAATCAGAAAAAGAGTAAAAAGGGGAGGGGTAAAAATTTAAAATATTTAAAAAATCGAGGTGTCTCGTACTATTTTAATTTTAAAATTAGTTTAGTGATTTAATGAAATCTAAAAAACGGCAATCCGAAAAGTTCTTGCTTTTTTTTATTGTTGTTAGAACAACCCACCACTGCACAGTATACCATATAATAGTAAATCTTTAAAACAATGTTTGCAAATATAACATATAAAAAGCTTTACGCACATTTACTTCTAAAACACAACAAACCAAAGAAACAAAATTAAATAATCAGTAATACACGCAAAACCGCTTTGCGCCGTATAGAACTGGCTGCTGCCGAGTCGGGTAATGTCTCCCAGTGACGTCAGGCGTGCGACAGAGATGGGCTAATCGCATGCGCGTGGGTTTATCTTCTCGAGTATAGTCTTTCTAGACACAATCCAACACGGCAGAATAACTGATTAGTACCGACTTCAAAGGGACCGCGCACATGGGCGTAACAATTTTATTATTAAAATTAAGTAAATTAAATTAATAATTATGTATAGTTCTTTCATTAAACTCGTTCCGAACTCTTACCGACAATT